TCAACCATCTCGCTCAACAAAGACAAAGCGCGCTGCCACTGCTCGCCCTTCTCGCACGCGCTGATCCCAGCGCTGTAGCTGACGAGGGCGAACCCGTGGACTTCCCCCACGACCTTCAGGTCCCCCTGGTGCGCCTCGCAGGCTCTGGAAACTTTTGTTCTGTTTGTCTTGTAGAAACCTGAGGGCGGGCGCTGCCTTCTCCAAGGGATGGTTTGGGAGCTTCTCGGAGCTTCTTTTCGGCCTCCTGGACGCCTCCTGCGGCGCCCCTGGGGCGTCGCTCGGCCTCCTGAGGGCCTCTCGGGGCTCTCTTGGACCGTCTTGGGTGCCGCTGGGGTCGTCTTGGGGCCGCCCGGGGCCATCTTGGGCGCCTCAGCGGCCGTCTAAAGATCGTCTTGGCGCCGTCTTGGGCCGTCTTGGGCAGCTCTTGAGGCTGTCTTGGATGCCTCTTGGGCTGTCATGGGCGCCTCAGGAGCCGTCTGGATACCGTGTTGGGCTGTCTTGGGGCCCTCATGCGGCTGTCCTGAGGGGTCTTGAGGCACTCTCGGGAGCCTGTAATGGAGGCGCACGATCAAACACATGACCCTGGCGACGTACCCAGCCCTTGCGCAATGCGGGGCATAAATACATCAGGATTGCTACAACGGGGGCGATGATGTAACGTGGACGCACGTGATTTTGCGAGCTGCAATCGGAAGGCTCGCAGGCCCCCGATCAAGCTATAAGGGCGTCGTAGTGGTTACTAACGCAGCCCCCCCAGGGACGGCAAGGTCTCGCTCAGGTCCCCGCGGTGCCTCACTCCGCAGGACCTACCAACAGCCCTCGACAGTGGCGACAGCGTCGCAGATCGCAGCCCCCCCAAGGACGGCGGCCTTCGAAAGTGGCGACCGCGTCGCATATCGCAGACCCCCCCAAAGAACGGCGAGGTCTCGCTCAAGTCCCCGCGGTGCCTCACTCCGCAAGATCCACCAGCAGCCCTCGAAAGTGGCGACCGCGTCGCGGATCGCAGCCCCCCCAAAGAACGGCGAGGTCTCGCTCAGGTCCCCGCGGTGCCTCAGTCCGCAGGGCCGACCAGCAGCCCTCGAAAGCGGCGACACTGTCGCAGATCGCAGCCCCCCCGGGACGGCGAGGTCTCGCTCTGGTCTCCGCGGTGCCTCAGTCCGCAGGACCCACCAGCAGCCCTCGAAAATGGCGACGCTGTCGCAGATCGCAGCCCCCCAGGGACGGCGAGGTCTCGCTCAGGTCCCCGCGGTGCCTTAATCCGCAGGACCCACCAACAACCCTCGAAACTGGCGACCGAGTCGCAAATCGCAGCCCCCCCAAGGACGGCGAGGTCTCGCTCAGGTCCCGGCGGTGCTTCGCTCCGCAGGACCCACCAGCAGCCCTCGAAAGTGGCGACCCTGTCGCAGATCGCACCCCCCAAAGAACGGCGAGGTCTCGCTCATGTCCCCACGGTGCCTCAGTCCGCAGGACCCACCAGCAGCCCTCGAAAGTGGCGACATCGTCGCAGATCGCAGCCCCCCAAAGGACGGCGAGGTCTCGCTCAGGTCCCCGCGGTGCCTCAGTCCGCTGGACCCAACAGCAGCCCTCGAAAGTGGCGACATCGCAGATCGCAGCCCCCCACGGACGGCGCACACGCACACGCACACGACGTACGCACACGACAAGAGGAGACAAGAGGAAAGCGAGGGGCGAGAGGCGGAAGGAGGAAGACTGGAGACCGCAGTGCTTTATTCATAACGAATACCCAGCCAAGGAGGGTTGGGAAACAACCTTCTGGGGCGGACGATTAAAACATAGTTTCGCGGGCCTTCGCGCCGCCGCAATAGCGGAAACGCGGAACAGGCAGACGGAAAACAGACAATCCCGGGTTCTTTCAAAGCCCGGGGGGTGAGCGCGGGCGGGGGGGCGGAACGGGCAGACGGAGGGCGGACAATCCAGGGTTCTTTGGAGGCCCGGGGGGGGAGCGCGAACGCGGGCTGGCAAATCAGGGCGGGGGGGCGGAGGGTCAATTCAGAGCCAGGGAAGGAAAAGCTGGGACTTCGCGGGCTGACGATTCGAACTCGCAGGGGCGAACAATTCGAGGCCGCGGGAGTTGCCTTTGGCCAGCCCTGAGTGTGAAGTAAAAAATTCTGACCCGCCAGCCCTGCGCGGAAAGCAAACATTCTGCGCCGCCTCCAGACAGCGACGTCCTCCCCCAATTTTTCCTTTCTCCTCCTCCTCCTCCTCACCATCATCCTCCTTTCCCTCGCTCTTCGATCCCTTTTCACATTCCCCCTGCAAGCTACTGTTCCTCCACAGTTTTTCTATATGAATACTATCCCGGTCTCTCCCTTGATGCACTCCAGATACAAGGGCGAGGAGGAAGGGAAGAAGGAGGGTGGAGAGGGGAGGGAGCAAGAGAGGCATCGAGGGAGGGAAAGAAGCGAGGCACAGAGGAGCGAGCACAATAGGTGCCTGATACGCTTTCGTTTTTTGCTGCCGAAGCGGTTGTACAAAGTTCCTAAACGGATCCGTTGCCTTTGGCGTTGCCGACACCGTTCCCTTCCTCCTCGCTTACTTACTGAAACCTATTTTCTTCCTTATTCGGAACGGCAAATACGGGAAACATGGGCATCTGCGCTGGGGCTCCCGAGCGGCGCTTCCAGAGGCCCCTCTCTGCAATCCTTTCCCCGCGGGCGCGGGTGATCAAACGAGCGCAGGAGGACGAATAGAAAAGCAGTTTCCGCAAGGCGGCGAGATAGAACGCCAGGAGGGCGCACGATTAAACAACAGTTTCTGGCGGCTGAATTTTATTAGTCTGCCCCACTCATTCATTTCGGGGCCCCCGGGACGGGGTAGGGGGGGGACATTTTCTTGCCTAAGCAGCTCTATCCCGTGATTCACAAAAAACCGGCAGACAGACGATCGCTTTTCCCGCACGTTTTGCTGTGGCGGAACTCTCACCGCCGGTGTTTAAAGGCAAGTGCGCCGTGGACCCAACAAGTCGAGGCCGACTGCAGCTGCTGCAAGCCTCGCGGGATCCGAAAGGGCACGACTACTTCCTGGGAGGGTGGGCTGGGAGCACACGCTCTCGAGCTTAAACGGATACGGAAAAGGTTTCAATAGTGTTGTTGTCACGGAAACTCATTCAAACCTGCGGCCACTCTCTGACGCTGCTCTGCATTCCACAGTGAAACAGAATACATGCCTAAGCAGCTCTATCCCGTGGCCAAGACGGATTCACAAAAAACCGGCAGACAGACGATCGCTTTTCCCGCACGTTTTGCTGTGGCGGAACTCTCACCGCCGGTGTTTAAAGGCAAGTGCGCCGTGGACCCAACAAGTCGAGGCCGACTGCAGCTGCTGCAAGCCTCGCGGGATCCGAGAGGGCACGACTACTTCCGCACTTGTCCAAAATTTGGCATCTCAGGGTGGGCGGGTAGGGCTATCCCCCCCACGGGCGGTGTTGAGGCGTCAGCCTAACCACACGCGGGAAGATTTGCAGATATCAGAGGCTGCACGTGCATTCGAAAAAGCGCGGGCCAAGTGGGAGCACAACTCAATGGGATATGTCTCAGCTTTCTTTGTCAACCATCCACGCGGGCCGTCGAAACCAGACAAGGTAAGATGTGGCAATCCAGTTCGGCAACAGCGTCGGCCAATACACTTCTTGTGGATATTGGACAGGTCGATGCGGCAGCCTAAGAATCTTGTAGGTTTCTTCCACTTCTCGCCGAACATGCAAAAGCAAGTGTCAATGCAAGCGGCCGATCGCCACGCTCTGGCCTTGAGAAGGCGTGGGAGCAGCCAGAGCCGCGAGGTCACTGGGTTCTCCAGGGTGACGGGGCGCTGCTGGTGCTTGAGCTGCTCGAGGATGCTGATGCTCAGCCTGGCCAGCTCGTTGCCCACCCGGACGGCCTCCAGGTCCGCAGGATGCAGCAAGTCTGGGAGGCCGAGCAAGTGCTCGTCGCTCCTGAGCCTGGAGGGCGGCCCAGGCCGCGGCCTCTGCGGGTCCCGGATCGGGCCCCGGTCGCGGGCCCGGCTCCAGGTGTTGCAGGGCGTTCCCAGGTGCGCGCCCCAGATCAGTCCCCCGGCGATCCACCCGCGAATGAGCTGCTGGTTGGGCTTCAGCATCAGGTCCCAGCTCGGGCCCCGCAGCACGTCCCACTCCAGCGCCAGGTGCCCGAGCTTCCTGAGCTCGGCGGCGAGGCGCCCGCAGCCGCTGAAGATCTCTAGAAAGACCTGCGGTCGCTGCCTCGCCCCGCGGTGGGCGGAAAGGAGGCGGTCGAAGGCCGCCCTAGGAGAGTCTGCAGGCGCGCGGGAGCTCCCATCGCCTTTGCCAGCACGGGCGCGGGCAGTCGGTGGAGCTGCTCTGACACCCGGCCCTCCTTGCGGCATCGCTGCACGGCGGCGTCGCTCATCCAACGCCCGCGCAGCTTTATCTCCGCCAGCGTGCGTCTGCCGATGGCCTGGTCGAAGGAGGGGCCGCCGTGCCTCAGCATGTACAGCTCGGGCCGAAGCATCTCGATGCCGCACCGCTGCTCGGCCAGGCGAAACCTCTGGATGAAGTCGGCCTGGCTGCAGGCGAACGGGCACTGCTGGGGCGGCGCGCTGGCTCTCAGCCACGCCAGCGCGGGGTCGAGGAGCAGCTTGAAGTCTGGCGCGTCCACGACCACGGTCTCGTCGAACTGGTGCGTCTTGCTCGCGACCGGGAACTCGAACGGGTGGAGCACCAGCGACCAGTTGCCGTACCGGCTGCCCCTGAGGGGCGGCACCATCATCTCCCGCTTCAGCTTGAAACCCTCGCTGGGTCTGAAGTAGCAGTGGAAGCTCAGCACCACCAGCACGGCTGTCGTCCAGTACCCGTCCTGCACCAGCTGCTCCGCGAGCGGCGCCACTGCCTCCCACGGTAGCGGAAGGCGCGTGCGGCCCGGCGCGAGCCGGCGCCACCCGCGGAGCGACTGCCCCGCTCGCGGCAGGTTGCGACCCCCGGCCTTGCCGAAGGCAGGCAGGTGGAACTTCGCCACGGCCATCATCTGCGACCCGACGTACGCCTGCTCGCCGTTCAGGAACTCCTCGTCCATCCAGAGCGCCAGCCA